GGGACTTTGAATGCTCACAAGAAACGTATCGATTTTCTCGAGAACACGATTAACAATTTAACGATTACTCGCGCCGACGTGTACAAATTTACTCGGTTTTTACTTTTTGTTTTTATTTATGATTTTTGTTAAAAGAGACGACGCAGCAATTGCGAGATTGATAAAAAAAAAACTCGTTCTAATTTTGTCTCAATTACACTTTGCGTATATATATTATATATAGAACTGCTCGTTATAAACGCTCCGCAGAACTTTGAAATGAGAATCGCTGAAAATAACATTTTATTCCTGCGATTGCCGCAGGTAGTTTGATATATATATATATATATATATTGCCTTACTTATCAATATTAGTTACTACTTTTATTTGCAATGTACGAAGATTTTGACATTAAATTCTTTTTAAATAAATTTTACATTAAAAATTATTTTGAAGTCTTTTCTTTCTCAACGATTTCGAAATTCGAAAAATCATTTGAACAAAATCACAACAATTTTTTATTTTTATAAAAAAACGGCAATCTTGGAATTTATAATTAGAATATTTTTCTCTATCACAAATGTACGCTAATGTTACGTGTCAACAAATATTTTATATCTAGCGTATATTCACAGATGACATATTCATATTTCGTGCTTAGTAATGACGTTATCTCAAAATTTCTCGCTTCTTTTTTTTTTTCACTTAATCATACCACTTTATTTCCTCTAACATTTGCGAGAGAAGAGGACACTAATAAATGACCGTGCGAGATAAAATCGCGTACGGACTTACGTACTTAAGTGTCATTAATTTATATTTTATGAGATCCCCAAGCGATAGCATAATTAGCAATACTTTCCACTAACTAGTTTACTGCACTCATACACACACACATACACAAACATTGCACATAATATGTTGCAACGATAGAAAAAGATACTCGGGTAAAAATATAGCCACACAAATTGTAAATAAAAAAATACGCACTGTGAAAGAACAACTGCAAATACGAAAATAGAACGGTACTAATCACGTAAAAACGGAATTGGACGGACTAGTATTTATGTTACGTGGCCAGTGATTGCAAATCGCGATTACGCTCGAGGTTAGTTGCAACGGACACGAACTCTTACGTATAGAATAAATGCAAATCAATTTTTTCTAAGCATTGCACAGGACATTGATAAGTGTATCTTTCCCGTAACACAAATTGTGTTCATTATAGCACAAAACAACGCACTGTTTATTACAGGTAGAACAAGAAAACTTCTAGTACACGTTTTGACAATTTAATTAAGTTATTCTGTTTAAAATAACATTTTTAAAATTATTGCTGATAATGTTTAGATTATTTTTACTGATGAAGATCCGATTAAAAAATTTAAACTTTGAATTATTATAAAGATACAGATTTTTTACGTTAACATTCTGTAATTTGGTTCGCAATTGGTCTTAATCTGACTTTTTTTGGAAAAAACAAAAATTTGAGTCACAAAGTGCTTTGCAAAAAATGTGCATTACACTAGACGTGCCTGCATAACGAAGTTTTGGCTGAGAATCTTTTTCCGCGAAGTATCGGTAATGAGTGTGCTCGCAGAATGTAACTGCAACAAGGGGACCCCGAGTTAATTAACTTGCATCGCGCACGTTTCTCAAAATTACATTCTGTCCTGCATTAATTCTCGTCGTTGCCGACTGTACTCGCGAGACTTGTTAGACACGAGTGTAACGCGCAATTAACTTTTTTTTAATCAACTTTTATATTTCGCAATTTGATATGAAAACAATTAAAACACTTCAATGTATACACAGACCGACAATGCAATTAATGTATTTAATTGTGTAAAGCGTTGATCATGTTGAAAGGATTGCATTTCGTAGATTGAATTTCGATTTATATTGAAAACAGCGATATTTATAATCCAAGTTTACACACTAAATTTGGACATAACAAAATGCGGTGACAAACTATTGAAAACATATTGGGCATACTCGCAAATGTGTCATAACGAGATGTGAGAATAAAAATTTTTAAATTGAAAATAAGATCAGTGATAATAATTGTATATTTCAATATTAATCATCGGCTGTCGCAATTAAAGTCATCTGAAATGCAACCACGTTGCGATAAAAAAATCTTCTTTAAAAATATTTTAGTTGAATGATTTTCTCACACTCTGCAGAGAATTCATGTATCAATATAAGAAAATTTGCAATTCCTCTCGTTTCGAAAATAATCAAGAATACACGTATTCTGTTGAAAACAGTTAACGAACATCACGTTTTCTGTGCAAATCGGATAGCAGCAAATATTTTAACTTCTCGAGAAATTAAATGCTCTTCTTTTCCCACGAGACGTTAAGCGTTCGTGAAACGAGTTTCGAAGGCAGTTATTGCTCCGAACCATCGCGAAGAGAAGAAATAGCCAGTCAAAATGATGGGGAAAATAGTCACTTTATTTTTTTCTTTCTTGAGTGGCAACAATCTGCTACCCTTATATTAAAGGTCGACAGAAGTGATGAGCAAACTCCAAATTGGATTCCTAACATAGAATATATATACATTATATACTGTAGATTTATATGCTGTAGTGCTAATAAAAAATCTTACATATTTTTCGTGTGCATAAAGAAAACTTTTTCAAGTTTTATGCTAAACTTTATTATTTTACTACGATATGTAGTTAAAGCGTTGACCTAATCAAACACGAAGAAAGAAAGACACAGAGAGAAAAAAAGCTAAGAAAAAGAGAAAGAGCAATTAGGAAACGACGATAACTCGATCTATGCTGGGAAATCGCATTACAACACCAATAAACTCTGAAAGCAATTATTCCTGCGGGACATTACAAGAATAAAAAGCTACCGAAGATCGTTAAGCGATCTCACGGGTCACGACAAGCGTTGTCTTCCGAGATCCCCAAAAGTATGCTAACAAAGAAACTGTTGTTCTCTCTTCACGAAAATTTATTACTCGCAATACTTCTTCCAACTCTACGACAGCATATTAGTGAGAACGCTACGCAGTTTCATTAAAACTTCACGCAAAAAGTAAACTTTCAATGTGATTTTGCTAAGATACAACTTTTATCTTAGAAGTTACATCGTTATGCGTGCTTAATATCATTAGCGGCAATGTGCAATACGGCGTGAATATCGTATTTTTAAAAAAACTTGTGGAATTTTAGATTTAATCCTGAAGCACAATATGTGCGTAAAAATAAATTAACGAAACGTTTGTTTGTTTTGNTGAATAAATCAAAAAACAATTAATTTCACAACGACCATCTGGTGTATCACCTCGTATTGGCCTATGCTTTATTCCCTATAAAATAAATTAATTCTCACAACAGCAAAAAATTTTTAATGTAAACACTTTTTAATGTAAATACACGAAAAAATTTAGTTTTTATTATCCTCATTTTGTTACAGCGTAACGCAAGTTTACATCAAATACAATAACTGTCCGTAATGTTTTAATTAACGATTCATTTGACAAGACGATATTTCAATAATGCCGTGAAATTTGCCAACGCAGATATCCGTGATTTTAGTAATACTTCGCGGATTATCTCGCCAACTCGCGCGCGTTTACCTTGCAAGTTTACTTTCCAGCCACGTCATCCTATTTTCCTGCAGAGGTTTCATTACTTTCCTTAAGCTTGACACACTCACGCAGTCGCGATTTGTAAACATCGCGGTACGGGATTACAAAGACAATTTCGGAGCTTAAGCGCGGTCCGATACCGCGGCGTTATACGTTTTACACCGGTTACATTAGAGTAAACGATTGTAATTAACAACTATTTGGTTTATTGCGCCACCGCTCGGCACCGCTACGTAAATATCACCGCACGAAAAATAGGACGAACAATCAAAGTGAGAACAGGACTATCTTCATTTGACTTTGAAATAGTAAAAATAATTTTGACAAAATGCTGACATTTTCGTTCGAGAGTCTATTAATATTTTCTGTTGTTCATTCAAAAAAAAAAAAAACAAGATTTGCATAACTTATCTTTTTATGATTTTGAAGAGTTTCAAAAGATGCCGGGCAAAACATGATTTAATAGTTCGGGATTGAAAATAAAGTTAAGTATCTTTGCGGATTTTTATTGCCAACGAAATTCACTTATCGAACGATCGAACAGTTGGAAAATCCGGACGTTTAAGGACAATATATTCCCGTGATTGTGTTCATCGGACGCAATCGCGATGTAATTACATCGCCGACCGATTTATTGTTCGTGTGTGCGCGCATTTTGCGTCGTCACGCATCACCGCAGCGGAAATGCAGCTGGTCGCGGATTAATTTGCCCAAATCTCTTCTCTCTGTTCCCCTTTGTCTGGCTTTCTCCCGCGGCTTGATCCTTCTCTCGATCGGACAAGAGCCCGACATTTCCACCGAGGTTCGGTTAACGTGCGGCTCACGAGATAATGAACAGATGACCGCTGCCAGAAGCTTTCGCAAACTGATCTCAAGTTATTTCGAAGCTCGTAATTGTGCGTAGGTTCGTTTTCTGATTAATGACGGACATATATTTTTTTACTTCAAAGAATATAACAATTAACTTAAAAAATTTTAGGATATGTTGCTCTTACGAAACTTTTGAAGATACGTGTGTTGTTGGCAACTGATCACGTGCAGTGGTTTTTGCATAAAATATATGTTGAAGCTTAATCGTAGTTGTTGAGCTGTTCTCGAAAAGTTAGAAAGTTTTGCGTTAGAAAGTTCGAACTCTCTTAACAGCACGTTTGCGCAACATTTTAAGCAAGCGCAAGCTTGCTGGCAAAGCGACTGCTTTCTTGGCACGAGTTCAAATCTAGATAATGAACTTCTTTTCATAGAGGTCCTCCAATTTGCACGAGACACGTTGCGGATAATCTTAGCGATTATGCACAATTTGCCGGAAAATAATATCTTAATGCATCGTGTTATCGCCGAAAAGTTATTAATCTTACCACGTATCGGGAGTATCTCGCCGTATACTAACTTCCCCTCATTTGATTTTTTGCAGATGATTGCCCCGTTCCATCGACGTGAGCCGAAGCGCGGTGGGAGTGCAATATCTTAAGTGCTCGGCAAAGTACAATGACTTCTGTGGTGAGAACAAAAATTGCTTGGAAGAATCGTGGGAAGAACTTGAAGAGCGGTCGCAAATGGCCGTGGCTGGAAATCGATATTACGACGCGGCCAAGTATCGCGAAAGTTATCTCCGCGGTCGAGGGATCGACTTCGTTCACGACAGCGAGTTAAACGACGACGAACAATATCCGATAGATCTTTCGCGAAATCGATGCGCGTAGATCTCGAGGGAGTTTTGGTCTTCGGAAACGAGCCGCGAGAACATTTGAGCAGGAGACGACGATGATATTCGCTATCGCTTGAACAAGCAGCGTTCTACGCAAGAAAATCACTAAGGACAAGAACACATCATTGCGAAAATGAGCTTCTTCAACTCTTTGCAGGAGTACGTCACAAATAGCGTGGCAAGCTTCAGTCTGAGCCCAAAGAGATTCTCGTTCAGCCGTGAAGATTCAAAAGGTGACGGTAGCGGGACCGGGAGAAGCAGCTCCACTGGAAGCGTCACCTCGACCACCAACACCAGCACTACCGCTTCCCAACAAGCCACTCCTCATGGCTTTCCCAAGGTACGTGATTGGAATAAGTACATGTATCGCAAAGTAAGAAATTAAATGAAGAACAAGAGATAATCATATTATTTGAAATATATTTTCAAGTCAAAAAGTTCTGTCGCATTGTACGTGTGTAAATTTGAAGATACTTATCAAATATTAGTATTTTAATATTAATATTTTTGAGTTTGTACAAAATTTCGAGAGAGTAACAAAAGTATAAAATTAATTAATCAAATAATAATTACTCATTAATAATTATTTCAAATGTCTTTATATCAAAAAAATATAGTCTTTATATAAAAAATATAAAATATATATAAATTTTAATATATACGATTCTAACAAAAGTGTGATTGCGTAAAACCGAGATTAACTTTTTACGAAGAATAATCGCGCGATCGGCAAAAGAACGATCGTATTTTCTCTTGATTAAAGAAGCCAAGAAAAGTGACATTAAAGAGGACGTGTTACAATCTGCGATAGAAGACACAGACGTGACTGCTGTTGTCTCTTTGTGTAGCAAAAAAACTTCGATTTATTGATTACCGATGTGTACCGAAGTAATTAATCGCTTGTTACATCGGCGCTAATTTTCGCAAACAAATAAAAAATCCTCTCGCTCGACGTATTTCCCGATATTATTATTTTAACACAGAAATTATATTTGGAATCGCGCATAAAAAATAAATATAAAATAATACGCGCATCAAAATTTCTACTTTAAGAAAACTGATAATTCATGCTGATAACATGCTTATGATATGTTTAATTTGTATTTGGACCTTATATTATATTGATGCGCACGTAGATAAACTTATGTCTATAATAAGCATAATATAATTGATTATGCAAACAAGGTGCTGAAGTGGATGCTATTAATGATGCACCGTTCTGCGGAATATATAACGACGTGTCGCCACAATTTATTGAATGAAATATACATCGTTCGTTTAAACGGCCGGGAAAACGAGAATTTATTCACTCACTTGTGTCAAAGCATAAAAATGGTCTGTCGATACGGATAACGGAGAACGAGTTTTTTAAAAGAAGCAATACATTTATTGGCATCGACGTGTAAATTAAAACGTCCATCAAATTACATTCAAGCAAATGAGCAAACAAACTCTCTATCGAGGAAAAGCTCTGTCGCGAATTTAATATGCAGTTATTATTATTTTACACTGCGCCAGCAAACACCTCTCTTTGTTATTTTATTTAAATCTTGCATTTCTCTTTGAGGACAAAACTAAATATTTAAGTGCAAAAAACAGCAAATTGGAAATTTGTATCAAGTTAACTGTTTGTAATCCTCTTTTTGTAGTTTATTTTGTTAGATTTGATGTGTTTTTTGATACAAAGAAAAACAAGATCAGTTTTAAATTTAAACGCAATATCAAAATGAAAAATAAAAATGTCAGAACGCTATGTCATCAGCTTCCGGCTGAATTTTTTTTGCACGGTCTTCAGGCAAAATCATTTGCTTTTTCCAGGTTGTGCCACCGCCAGGAACCGTCACCTCGCAACACACGCGTTCTCTCTCTGCACGTAGACGCACCCTCGAGTGCACTTCCTCTTCGGGTCTGACGGTGCACCCGGCGACCGGAAGCGGCGCCACGTCACCCCGTCGAGTCGGCTCTTTCCGTCGTAGTGCGGGATCCAGCGATCGTCCGCCTCTTATGTTCTGTCGTCGTAGACCATCCTGGCCGGAGGTCGATATACAGGCTACTTCCGGGTGAGTACTTTGCAGCGATGACACACACACACACACACACACACGTCACACGGCTTCAAGAAGTTGTCACGTTTCCGGTTTCTTATCTCGAGTGTACAACACAAGAAATAGGAATTGTATATGTTCAAGACAAAATAAGGTGGAATGAAAATTACAGAAAATATACACTTACGTTTCGTTCGAAAAATCAAATTTATTTTCTTTTACGTATTTATAAAATGTATTATATATAATTTATATGCTTGGCAAAAATGAGGATAATAAGGAGGAAGAGGTAAAAGAAAATAAACTAGCAAATGTAATTTTTGAGCGATAAAAGGCTTTTTATTAGTTATTTACATGAAGATACACGGTGTATGTGTATATAAATAATGATTAATAATTTGACTTTACTATTCAGAAAGTAATGCTTGGAAATAGTAAATATGATTAATTTGCTTTGTCATTAGTACGATTTTAATTATACAGCCTATGATAACCACGTTCCGAATTAAAAGCATATCATCCATTCTTTTCGAGATATTCTCTCTCGCAAAAACAAATGTGATTCGCGTGACATAGCGTTCTATCAAATTAACGAAACTTACATATATGAAGTAATAATTTACCGGCAACACATCCGATATAACTTTTTGTATTAAACTGTTTTGAAACTTGGCACGAAATAACTACAAACTATATTTTAAATTTATGAAGTAAAAAATTAAATTAAAAAACGGAATAAACAAATTTTGCATAAAAATCAGATTCCAGCAATACCTCCGACCGTGGTGGGCGCAAAGTTGTCTATCGCGACGTGGTGGTTTTGCGCCTCTCTCGACGCAGTTTCAAGTGCTCTCAATCGGATTTCAAGAGGCAAGACACTGTCTTCGAGCTAGCCATTCAGCGCTTTAATCCGTTTACTGCGTCGCACTGTTGTGCGCGCCAAAGCTTTATGGTTAACTATGTCTCTCATTCTCTCTCTTTCTTCTCATCAAAAAGCAGTAGTAGAGATGCAAGTTACCGCGAAACTTCTCAGATACGTATTTTTCTCCCGAGTTCTATTAATCGTTGCATTCGTAAAAGCGCGGCGGTGAACTGCGATCGCGGGTGAGATGAGAAGCGTTTCTCCTACACACACACCTTTTCTAGTTTTCGCGTGCACGTCGCGACGAATGCACTTTTAATAAAGCGGACGCGATGTATCGCCTTTCTCTCCCTTTCGACCCGTTGCATATGCATGGCCACGGAGTCGGCCATTTAGTGCGAATTGTTAATCTTTTTTTAAAACCCCCTCATCCTTTCTCTCTCTCTCAGCACTTTTGTCGACGTCTCTCGTGTGACAGACAGTTTCTGTATGCCGTACATTTGAGAAACTTTATGAATAAAAAACTATATACATAAAGAGAGATGACAACAAGACCAGTAAGAGCGATAGAATTTCGAATTGAATTTAAATCGAATTACGATGTATACATGCTAGTTTTTGCGCTTTAAAAAATATTTCGGACGTATAATCAGCGCACTTATTGGTCGTATTATTAATTCTCTTATACACGTAGTCGGAATACTAAGAGAGCCGTGTGCGATTTCTACAATTTCTATATCCTTGATGAATAAAATTGCGAGCACGCAACCTACGCAGTGAGGTTTTTATTGCGACGACATCGAGATCTTCGGCAGGTCGATATATTATTTGCACGCGAGAGAACACAATACGCGATAATATCGCTTTTGAATACCACTTTCAATTTATAGAGATATAAAAAATGATGAAATAGACGATAATAAAAACTGACTAATCTTCATCCGATATTATATTTTTCAAAAGCAAACAGACGGTACTATGATATTATTATATTATAAATCAATATTATCTCTCTGCAAGTACTACGTATATGTTTTACGTATCTTTGCTTATTTAAATGTCACGTAAAGTGCCTACCACGCAAAGCCAAAAAATTTTTTTTTTTTTAATAGTTTCAATTTCACGATCTCTTTGGTTTCTTTCTGTATACAGTAAGTAGAAAAATACTGAATACGTATAAATTAGAGTTTTTCAAATTAGCAATAAATATATAGTGTTCAAATAAACTTTAATATTTAACATACAACTACCATAATTGATGTAGCTGCTTTTAATTGACTTATGTAGAATGAATGCATAACATGATCGAACACACAATGGCCATCTACACTATAATGAAGGTATGAATATTTTAGCAACGGAGAGAAGCCAAATGTGGCCTGGCAAAATTGTCTTTGATATCACAGTAAAAACTCGTTGTGTAATTAAACCCGGCACGCTTACGTGGAAATACGATAAGCCAAAAATCTTGAAAGAAGATTTCAAACAGATTCCCACTCTCATTTAATTTTCTATCTCTAAGCTTTGTGTGAAGAATTCAATTCTCGAATTAATTCCACTCTCCAAATTTAAATCGCGTCAATAATCAGTTATATTTTCCGCGAACTCATCTATATTAATTATTCTGGTTAATTTTACGGTAAATACACTTGGAGCGTTTCGCAAATGTATGAAACTGAAATTTTGCGTATGTGGAGAAAGTGCTGACAAAGAAAAAAGCTTGATTCGTCCGCTTGAATAAATATTTTCGGGAACATAACTTGTAAAAATAACGTTTTTTATATTATAAAAACTATAAAAAAAAGTTTTTTATATAAAACAAAGTTTTTTCAAGCGATCAGGGTAAAAAGAGATGGAATCTCTGTCAAACAGAATCTTTGTGTTCCAAATTCCAGAAGCATCATTTTCGTCAAAGAGAAGGGACGTATCGAGAACTGGTCATTCGATGACCTCAATTCGTCTGTGGGGCTGGCAGAAGCGGCCTGTAATCAAAGAGCTGCTACTCTTCCAGCATGACATCCTTTGTACGAGTCTCGCGTTCTCGAATCCCACGAAAACTTTAGTCAGTTGTTGTTCTTTTAAACAAAGTTTCTACTTACGTACTTACGTAACAATGTTTTTTTTTTATTTCCGTACAAAATTCTGTACAAAATGCACCGGCACAAGTTCGTCAATGCTTAAAACCTGGCGCGCCAGACTATAATCGCTTGTCGCTTCCCCAGAGTACTCTTAACGAGGAGGGTCACCCGTGGTGCTTGATAAAATAGCAGACTTGTTCCCCGGAGAGAACGACTTGCTCAAGGCCGGCAAATGAAGTTAGACAAAGCAGGTATAACTTAATCACCGTCGACGACGCTGAGCTCGTATCAAACGGACGGAAACAAACAAGGAAAAGTGTATTATCTCGTAATAGAAGACGGCGGATATACTTCGATTCTGTGTCAATGACATTGTCGCTTCGCGACTTAATTGTCAAATTCGACGTGAAATATTCATCGTTGAGATACGTTCTCCTCGTTGTTGAAAGTTTTTATTTTTTATTTTTTTTTATTATTTCCTGCAGCAAAAAACTGGACATTTCTAAAGCAAAAATATTTGTCCTGACGTTGTTGATGTTTTACAGAGAAAGTCCTCGAACAATTTTCTCGAATTTTTATATCTCATCCATACACAAATTGAATAAAGAAACTGCTTTTGCTAGCAAATCAAGTTTTTATCGCGCGCGTAACAATATGTCTGAATAAGTATTTTTAAAAACACATGAATGTGCCAGAAAACAATATAGCTTCCCAATAGCGAAATTTATTCGAATTGTTTCTGCAAGCTTAATCCTCGTCGCTTCGCGAACGAACACTTCGGTGAAACGATAGGATTATGAGAGATCAACAAAGATTGTAAATTTACAACAGCACGTTGAAGCGCATTATCGTTCTCGTTTTTATTTTTATTTTTTGTTTTTTTCCTAGACGCAAATGCGGACCGGTATTTATCGCTTTTCTGTCCGCTACTTGATCGCAAACAAGCTTGTAAACATCTCCACCAGAGATCGAGGCTTTATCTAATTGTGCTCGAGCGCGCGTCTATATACATCGATCCGTTCGAAAGCACAGGTGCACGTAGGCTGATACAACATGCCTCTTGTTCAATCGACAATTTCTTGCATCAACTGCTCGATCAGCCTATGTAAATTGTTCTTACGTTACATTAGGTGTGTCAGTTGCTCGTTTATATGCACGTTGCAGTGTGTGGGAAGTTTATTCGCTTCAATACGCCACAAACTGCCTAAAATTTGATGATCATATTTCTCGTATACACATTTGCAGTCAAAAAAAATTTTATATTATTTTCCATATCACATTTTTGAGATATTCAAATAATGTCATAATATCGAGTTCTTGCGCACAGAGTATTATTCTTCAAATTGCACATCGAGATTATTTATTCACATTTATTCACACTCGAATTATAATATATTTTATAATAACTGTGGAAAATATGCTTTTTACCGTCATTCAATAAAGCATTAACCGCATAAAGCGTTAATTGCTCTGCCGGTTGAAATTAATTTTCGAGAGAATATATATATATATATATATATATATATACGCAAATAAAGTTCCTATTATAATTGAGTGTTATTAAACAAGCGAGTAGTAATATTCAAGTATTGCACCGCAAATTGCTATTATATCTCACGACAGAGATATTACCAATATCGCGCATGTTATTAAAATTATCACTTTCGTAATCTCGCGTTTACATGTGATAAAAGTTACGACGTAAGAATTTATACGTGTATTTCTTATCTATTGTCCAATAAAACATACGTAGTCTTATCCTTTCATAAATACTCGGGAATATTCCGAGTCCGGAATACGTACTTCAGAGATAATGTGTTCTAAAGCGAATAAAACTATATATACACGCTATAAAGGGTTGTTTATCATATGAATATGTTTACGTATTCTTCTCGTGTATACGCTTTCGGATAAAATGCGGCATTTCGTTGTGTGGTCGTCGAGTATTGCATGGTAGCATTTCTCTAACTTCGTTTATCTTTGCCATCCGGATCTATTTCTTTACTCCGAAATACGAAGACCATGTATTGCTCTTGAAAATGTACGTTCGCTTGAAATTAGTTCTTGTAACGCAA